GGTGGCCCTGCCTCTGGCAGGGGGTTGGAGCTTCATGATCCTTGAGGTCCCTTCCAACTCTGGCCATTCTGTGATTCTGTGATACATTTGTGAGAAAAGGGATAAAAATGAGATTGGCATTGATAAGCAGGAACACAGGTGACATTACTCCAAACTGGGTGGGAAGAACGAAATAATCAAGATTTTGAAGGTGAGAAGTAAGTTTGGGATAACTTTTTTTTTGTTTTGAAGCAAAACAATACAGAGAGTAAGCCTTCATGCAAATGAGCACTTATAAAATAGCCTTTCTAAGTGAGTAATTTCTTTCACGATTAATAAAATCTGCAATCTGAGCAACAATGTTCTGATGACTTCCTGCCATTCGTAATTATCGCTCATCCTGGCACCAAAAACTCATTATTATTAGAGCTCACAAAAGAAAATATTTAACTACTTCTATGAAAAGACTTAATTTTTAAAAGAATCACAAGTTTTTAAGCTTTGTTTCTACTTCTAAGCCTTGAAAGTGAAAAAGGAGGGAGCCCTAGCAACCCTCACGTATATCTCCTTCAGCTTCCAACAAGTGATGTGAATAAAAGCATCTAATTTATATGGTAACACAACACACTACAAAAGTATACTTTGGTTTAAAAGCAGCCTACTAAGAGTATGGAGTTAACATATCCCCATATAACTATGGGCGTGTGTTTTATACTATAAACATACGTATTTTTGCCTTTTTTATAGCAGTTTTCTCCAAAGGAGCTAAAAGCATTTAACAGTTACTGTAGAACTAACAGCACTCTTGTGAATAAGAATATATAATCACTATTTTAATGGCATGGAAGCTGAGGCACAAAGGTGGATGTGGCAGAACAAAAACAATACCAAACTCCGAGCTCTGTGAGTAAATTCCAGCCTACCTGGCATGCATCATCTATAGGTGGAGAGGAACAGAGATATTTTTGTCAGTGCTTATAGAGATGTTAGCACTAACACTGCCTATGTCCCCCTCCTTCCTGCACCCTGTCAGAGCAGCTAAATCAGAGCCACATTAGAAAGAATAAGTAAAAGTAAAAAAATAGAATAAAGAACAGATGCTAAATGGACTCAAAGAAACATACACATGTTTCTATGTGTATGCCCTATGCACAGGTGCTTGACAAACATTATCTGAGCTCTTTATAAAGAGATCTCTCAGATCTCCCACTTTCAGTGATGTGGTGGTCAACCAGTAAAGGGAGATGCAGCAGGCATGAGTTGCAATAAGGGAAAATCTAATTAGATATGAGGAAGGAAAAATCAGTGAGTGCTTCACCAGTCAGCACAGTCTGCCCATGAAGGCTGCTGAGTCTCTATCCTCAGGGATACTCAGGACTCAACTGGACACAACCATAGCACTGAACAACCTGCTCCACTCTGTAGCTGGCCTGTTTTGAGCAGGAGGTTGACCAAGGTCCTCCCCTAACGAAATTACTGCAGGAATATCATACAGATACAAATGAGGTTATTCCTTGGTTTCTTTGTTTCATCTCAAAGCTTATCAGAAATTCATACAAGAAGTATGACTCTGGACTTCCATGAGTAAAAACAACTACTTCATTCGGCTTGCTTTCTTCTGAAAAGAGGGAATGGAACAGACTGCAATTGTTGCTTTAACCCACCGAAAGCTACAAAGAATGAAAAGCAAAACACAATCAAGGACCTAAACGTGTGTGGTCGTTAGAGGTCTTGGTTGAAGTTTACATACCTTCCTGACCCTCGTTCCTTGTAAGAAACACTCAGAAAACACTCAATCAAGTTGCTGTGCTGAGAGACCTGCTGCTGCTAAAATAACTGCATCATGGTAACAGCTCTCAACTTCTTCCTTTCATTTCAGATTCCTCTCTCCCCCCACACACACATTTTCATATGAGGTGCTGCATATGGTGAAAGCTGATTTAGTCTGAGCCAGAAACAACAGAGGTTAAATACTTCTCTAGTTAGAACACAGAGATTGCAACAGTACGTGATTGTCAAGCTGTATAGAGCTATACAGCCAACATGCACAAATACCTTCTACACTCTTCAGAAGAATAAGCAAGTTAAAATGTTTAAGGGGGGCAGCTGAGCTAGGAACATCCTCAAATGGGTAAGATAGACAAGCATGCTACTCCTACGGGCAGCTCATTTCTAGAAACAAAGTGCACCCAAGAATCCAAGGCACTTTTGATCAGCTTCTCAACCCACAGCAGAAGCCTTGCTGAGGTAGCCTGGACACAGAGGTCAGCTCACTTCCAACTACGTATGTCAACTACTTCTGATAATTAGCTCCAATAAAGAGAAGGGAGTTGTTGGTTGGGTAGTTTTGTCATTTTACCCTCCCGTCCCAAGTGGATCACAGACATGATACCAGAAATATCCACAGAAATACCATAATCTGATACAATAACAGTACAATAAGCTGATATTCAGCCTAAGACTATACTCAGCATTTTGTACTGATTTGAACTGTGCAATGCTGCAACATATCAAGCCAGATTTGCTAGACATTCCCCACCACAGAAAGTGAATTAAACTGTCACTCATCTCCATAAGACTTGCTCTAGTATAAGTACTTCTTCATCAGTTGGACAGTCTTGCTCTGAATTAAAAGCAAAATGCTATGTTGCAAGTTAAAATCTTCATCCACTTTCCCATATGTTATTTTTTTTCCTCTCTACTTTTCTCTTACCTATTTTCCACTCCGCTGTTTTCCCCCAGTTCAGTATGTTTAACCCTCTGTACTCCTCCTGCCTGCCTACTGCTTTCTTTTCTTGCCCTTCTCAGCAGATTTAAAGGAAGGAACTTGCTTTTGAGCTCTAGCCACCCTGGCTACACTGATAATTATGGTCTGAGCATTGAACTTCTGATGTCCTCCTGATCCTTTCTGTTGTCCATTTATAAATGAATGAGGCAGCAAAGCCTGCTGGAGTACAGCTCCCTTCTCCAAGGACCATCTATTCAGTGTGTCAAGGCAAGGCTGGGGCAGAATCATTTGAGTTGGAAGGGGACCATAAAAGGTCATCTAATCCAACTCCCCTGCAATGAACAAGGGCATCTCACAACATATACACACCATGAAATGATAGGGAAAAATGACACTGTAACCATTGTGAGTGATACTAAAAAAAAAGTTATTTAGAGAACATTTGATTTTACTACAACTTCAAGACAATTACAGCTGTTGGTATATTCAGTTTTACAGCATTACAAACACATGCTGGAACAAAGAAGGAATATAAAATAAAAGCCTTATTCAAAATTCAGACTTGACTTCAAGTAACAATTTCATTTTTCTATTATTACATACACTATTTATGATATTGTATTGCTAGCACAGAGAAAGAGATTAAATAAACTTCCCTACACATACTTATACACACTCAAGCATACACACAATTTCCTGTTTTACCACGAACAAACTAATGATAGGAATTAAGAAGCATTTTTAAATTATCAAAGCTGCACTGAAATCTGTAAGCTAGTTGCTCAGGGAAATACACTTTATAAACAGTCTTCATGGGTGTACTACAAACCTATTGATGGGAAGAGGCTGCCAGCAAGGTTATGATCCAGATGTGCTGGGGATGCTGAGGTGTTCAGCAAGAAACATCGAGAGGGAACAGCAAGCAACACAACAACTGTTGTGTAGTGTGCAAGAAAGATTAAGCTGATTAAAATTAGGGAAGAAGAAAAGAAAAGAGGACTTGGCGGTCTTGATGCAAATAGAAAGTGCATCACTCCTGGGCTGTGTCAGCAAGAGGATAGCCAGCAAGCCTGGGGGTGGTCCTACCCATCCATGTAACACTTGCGAGCTCTCCAGGATGGGTAGAGGGTATTGGTGGCTGGAGCACAAGGCATGAAGGAGGAAAGAGAGATCACACTACAGTTTCCAATTCCCAGTGGAAACTCACGAGAGTGAGCCTATTCTTGAAAGTACAGAGAGATACAGGAAAAGAGCTACAATAATGAACATTCCAATGAGAGATGAGGAAAATATCCTTCATCGTGAAACAGGAACAGGGGCCTGAAGAAGTGTTGGAATCTCCATTCTTGGAGATATTCAAAGCTGAAATGCTTGCAACCCTAAGCAACCTGGGGGATGTTGCCCTGAGCAGGAGGTCAGACTAGATGATATCCAGAGGCACTTTTAAGCCTGAATTAACCAACAGTTCTAAATATCTAGTTGGCAGAAGCCAGAATGTGATCAAAGGATGCCAAGAGAGCTGTCATACAGCATCAAGGGTCAGGCTTAGCTCTGCAAGGAGAAACACACAAAGAAGATTGGGAAAAGAAGCTAGGAAAGGAGTGATGATGAGTAAAGCAGCAGGCTGAAAGACAAGGCAGCAACAGAGGATCAACACTGTAAGGAAGGACAAAAATAGACAACCCAAATCTGCATCCACCGAGTTACACTTTCCCCTAGCAGCTGAAAGGTAAAAAGTCCTATGGGAGTTACTCAGTGATGAAGTCAATATTTATGTTTCCTCTTTGATGTGCGTAATAGAACTGAGTAGGAGAGGAAATCAGTTCTCTCTTTTTTAGGAAAAACTAAGCAACCTTTAATCTGCTTGCTTTTTTTTTTTTTTATCTACACACACAATTTTGCAAACTTCACTGGTATTTATAACGCGTTTATATAATAAAGAATGTTTCATTTGTAATACAAACATGTAAGTATATTTTGTAGCTTGAAACTCCAAGCAATCACAGCACTCAAAGTGGCTAACAGCCTTTTGCAGTTCTGTAGGATATAAACCTCTGAGCCTGTGGAGATGAACTCCACTCCCTCTTGCAGCCACACAACCCAGAGCATATACCCTTGATCGGGTTTATAGCACTAGCATTCAGCCTTCTACATTCTTTTCCAGTGTAACACAGTTGCACATGCTCTGACAGGGATTTGCTGCAGTCACTGAATGCATAACCCAAACTACGTTCGTGTAAGACAGATAAAAGGAAAATTAAAATGCAAAAGGAACAGATAACTGCACACTTACCCTATGATATCCAGAATGTGTATCAAAATCAGCCTCAGGTGTAATAGTCAGTAAACAGGACAGCAAATCCTTGCATTTAGCAGGAGGTTTCTGGGAAGCCAGATTACCTAGGAAGAGAAGAGGAGAATTACGTTAATACACAAAGATAAAGTCACCTAGGCTTTGTAAGAATAGCCTTTAAATGAGCTAGAGGAGAAGAAAGAAAAAAAACAGCTGCAGAATGGGAGATGGTACATGCCACCATGATCGGCATGGAGAATTTAATCCTCTGAAGGTGACAGAAATCTGCTATGAAGCATGGGGAGTTCGGTGCTGCTGAATTCTTAGGGTTTAGTAAAGAGCATCTAATACCCGTGATAACACAGTGTTAACCCTCTAATCAAGGACGTGGAGGAGAGCAGAAAGAGCACGATATTTTGCTTAATTAGTTGCTATCAAAGAGAGGACAAGTTCAAGCACTCCCAAGAATGAGGCGACACAAGATTATTTAAAAGTTTAATAGCGTTCTAAGTCTTTGGTAATGCGGGGTTTGCCCATGAAATAAAAATAATCCCAAGAGATAAATTTAAAGAAATATATCTCATTTTAGTGCCCAGAATAAAATGACTACTCATTAAAGCAAAGCAGTTTTATACCTACGTTCTCCATCTCACATCTAATATATATGGGAGTAATCTCCATGACGGGAAGTGGATTGTAATCCTGCAAGAATGAAGTGCTGTCATTATCCGCAAATCAATAAAGTATTTATTTATTTATTTTTAAGTCAGCATAACAGTCCCTATTGATTTCACGTTTTTAGCACTGGAGTTTCTGGCCCTATGAAGAAGATTCTTACAATGATGAGAGACACAGATGAATAAATGAGCTGAGACGAGCTAGTTCTAAGTTTCCTTTGTTCAAGGGAAGTTCGCTGTAATCAAGGTTTCGTATCATCACAGAATGGCCTGGGTTGCAAAGGCCCACAGTGCTCATCCAGTTCCAACCCCCTGCTGTGTGCAGGTCACCAACCAGCAGCCCAGGCTGCCCAGAGCCACATCCAGCCTGGCCTTGAATGCCTGCAGGGATGGGGCACCCACAGCCTCCTTGGGCAACCTGTGCCAGTGCCTCACCACCCTCTGGGGGAAAAACATCCTCCTAAGATCCAACCTAAACCTCCTCTGTCTCAGTTTAAAACCACTCCAAAGAAACCAAAGTGTTTCTCTTTCACAACCTCAGCTTAAGCTTATTTTGTTTTATACAAACATAATGTTTTGTGTAATTGCAACACTACATATTTTGCACTGTTAGAGCAATATACTTCACTTACCCTACCTGCAAGCTGTTGGAAGTTTATCATGCAAAACCTCTTGAAGGACACCTCCCTGACCTGCAAGAATGTTATTACAGAGTATTTGCATGACTCTTGCTATGTTCAAATAGCCCAACCAAAAAAATAAAAGTAATAAACCATTTGCCTGTCAAAGTCCAAACCTGGCTGAGCACTGAGGAGCTTATGGTTCAAAGGGATGGTGAAGGTGGTAAAGTAACAGGAAAAGAAGGACACCAAAGGGCGACACAACGCATCCAAGGTCATTTTGAGTGTCTGTGAAGCCCTGAGTTCCATTGGGCCATGATAAATTCCTTCAGAAGAGTTTAATAGAACTGATAGATGCTTATATAATTCTGTAAATGAAGCATAAAGCAACTTTGGCTTGATGAGCTGATCAAATAGCTCATGTTGTAACAAATGACCTGTAATACCTGTAATGAGAGCTGACTGCAGTTCATGATGTACCATTACAAAGAGAAGGAAAAAAGATAAAAGTTTAAAGTGGGGCCTGCTGACATCCCAAAAGAAATCTCTAAAAGCAAACAGACAAAATCATTTACAATTTTCAGTCCTCATTTCGTGCAGAAAAAGCAGATCCCTTCCCAAGCAGTAGCCAGCTGCAAGGTTAGTCTCTCAAAAATGCAAAGCATGATAATACAAGCAACAAGCACACGAAAGGACTGGGAAGGCACACAAAAAGAAGTGTCTAGACTGCATTATCCTCATCATTCCTGTCTTCTCTGTCATACAGAGCTGCATTCTCCTCGTTAGCTGCTTTGTTTACAGGGTTAGACTCATTTTGGAGTTTAGGCTTTCCAAATAGTTGGTCTATTCATTTATATAATGCTGCTCAAACACATTGTTGAGACATTTTCAACGGAGTATTTCTGACTTTTGCGACACGCTTAAAGAATTCTGCTTGAACTGCCTGAAAAAGCTCCAACCAAAATAACAGCTTTTTTTTTTCTTTTTTTTTTGGTTTGGTTTGTTTTCCTGTTTTTCAGAAAGAGCACTGTTTTCATGGAGAAGTTTATGGAAAGGACAGAAAAAACTCAAGGGAGTAATTTCTCCTTTGCGTAGTGAATCACCACATCACAGTTATCCCATCCTCTTCAAGGGCAACACTGGGCCACAATAACGTGGAAGGTCTCCCAAGGGAAACATTCACTTCCCAAAGCCATCCCAGGACTTGTTCAAGAGCAAGCACTGACTATGCAGAACTGAAGAACCAAAAAAACCCACATAAAATAAAAGGGATTTGTGATAAGGAAGAGGACTAGTCTGATACACCAACGGCAGTTTTACATGAAGGAAATCTTTTTCTTTCCTACCTCAAAAGGGAAAGACATGAGGAACATCTACAAAGCGTGACTGTAGACTCTAGATGGCAGTGCCATAGGGAAAAGCGGAACAGACCTCACAGCTGGATACGGGATGTTTGAAGAAAGGCTCAGAAGGAAAATGGAGCAAGAAAGGGAATAATCCGTCACCATGAAAATGGTACACAAAGACGGGCTTAGGTTCAAAATCTGTTTCCTTACTCCTGGACACGCAGTCCCAAAGACGAGTCAAAATTATTACTTGGGACAACACAAAGAAAGGATTAATGGTCTTTACTGTTTAACATACGTTATTTGCTTTATTTACTAGGCTTTGGGTGCCTTCTCTACCCTGCTTTAGAAAAGCCTGGCTGTTAATAGGACAGGATTTTGATCTTATCAAAACTTAACTGCAGTTCAAAGTGCGGGGCAGAGAGAACACTTGTCAGTCAGCTCAGAACCACTAACATGAATACTGAAAGTAGAAGAGCCAGACATACAGCAAGGAGCTTTAAACCAAGAGGTGTTCTCTTTTGTTAGCTAGCTTTGAAGATAAAGCCTCACTTCCCTGTATCAATATTTCATGAAGCTGAAGGCACCTTCCAAAGGCCTACAGCAGCAGCCCAATTTATCTATTAGCAGCCTGATAACCTCGAAATGGACAAATCATAAATACTATGCAGCACCTAAGCTTCTGAATTAAAATGACCAGAGGTAACCTGTTGGAAACCCGACATCTACTTCATCATTGTAGCAACTTCCATGATGTCAGCAGCTCGTCCTTTGGGGTAGAACTACCAGGAGGCCACATAGTATATGAAACTGGTGTGAACTCACCTGCCCTGACAGAAGCTTCTTCATGAATGAATGTAACAATCAGAGATGCCTTAGGCTTAAAAGACCTAGGTAACGAAAAGCAAGTTTGGATCTTTTGTAGAAAGAAACTGTACCACTGGCCCCATCCTCTTGATTTTCCACCTGTTAGATGGTTGTAAGTGTTGATAAGATCCATCTCAGTCTTCAGCTCTCCAAGCTGAACAGTCCCAGGGCTCTCAGCCTTTCCTCACAATGAAGATGCCCAGGCCCCCAAACTTTTTTTTGCAGCTTTCCACAAGACTCTTTCTTACAAGATCCCTTTCTTTCTTGAACTGAAGAGAACTGGACCCATTACTTCAGATTTAACCTCACCAGGGCTAAGTAGAGGGGGATGTGGCTGACCTTCTGGCTCATATCACTGGAGGCAGTTAAGGAAAGTCTGTCACTGTTTGGTTGGCCTGGCTTATTACCCAGTTGGTTGCAACGGTGTCATTCCCCAAGCCTTTCAGTTTAAATCCTGCCTCATCACACTTGAGCTTTAAGAAGTAAATTTTAAGTTTGCAAATGCCAAAGAGCCGTAAGGGACAGAATGACTTCGCATTATACCAAGTTAAAACAGTTTTCTTATGCAGCAAAACTGTCTTTTGGAGCTTTGCTGTTACAGATGCCCTATAAAGAAGGGCAATAGAGCAGACCAGCATATCAACCAAGAGCTGCATAAGGTGTGAGAAGTGTACAGATCTAAACAGCATCCTCATGATATAAAGCAAACAGCAACATTCGGCAACTCAATACTGCAATGAAAGGAAACTTGGAAAAATCAAATAGCCTTCCTGAGGCAAATAAGAGATCTGCCTTACTTTGTGCAGCATCTATAGAACTGGGAAAATAAGAAAGCATAAGAAAGCAAGCAGGAGAGCATTAGCAAGCACTTGTCTACCATGATACAACTGCCATGAGCATGTCAAACAGCTTCCAAAATACAGAGAAAAGAAGAGTGAAAGACAAAAACAGAGCAATGTTAACGGTTTTGAGTAACAACTGGCAAAACTAAGGGTTCAAGAAGAATGTTTTCCTTGCTGAAGCAGTAGGCTTTTTGGTGCAGAAAAACAAAAAGAAAATAGACAGAAGCTGGTCTCTAGGTTTATTTTGCACTATGCAAGGCCCTGGAAAGTGCAGCCCAAGAACCCCATGGGTCTGATTCTGAGCTCCTCGATGCAAAGCATCTCAGCATGCATCTCAGCAACGATGCCATGCACCACTTGCCTTCCACATCTTGCTCACAGCTGGAAAAGTATTTGGATAGCAAGAAGGATAAAATGGATCCAGAGGAGGGCTACAAAGGCAATCAAAGGACTGGAGCACCTTTCGTATGAAGAAAGGTTGAAGCAGTTGGCCTTGTTTAGCCTGGACAAGGGTCCAGGGAGACTTCACTGCATTGTTCCACTTCTTGAAGGGAGCTTACAAGCAGGAGGGGGATCAACTTTTTACATGGTTTGATAGTGATAGAACAAGGGGGAATGGCTTTAAACTATAAGAGGAGAGTTTTAGGTTATATGTTAATAAGAAATCTTTTACTCAGAGGGTGGTGAGGTGCTGGCACAGGCTGTATGTGCCCCATCTCTGGAGGCATTCAAGGTTGGATGAGATCCTGGGAAGT